AAACTCAGACATTTCCCTCAAAACGCAGGGATGCCGATTCGCACCGGGACTATATATTATCAGAGGACCTTGGAGTTCGCCAAACAGTAGGTTATTCTGGCTGGAATTGTTAGTCTCCTGCCATGTACAAATTACTGACATGGCAGATTCGGACGGGACTAAAATTACAGATGTGGTGTTTTGTGCTTGTGCACAGAATTACATTACCCGACCACCCCGAGTAAAACTAATCCCGTCCGAATAGGGTTTAAGGCTAGGGCTGTTTCCTCGTCTCTGCTGCTGTTGCCTCAGCCACATTGTGCTCAATCCCAATATGCTGGTTAATTGAGCTATTATGCACATACAGTAGCAACAGAGGGAAAGGCGCCCATTCTACGGCGCCCTGAAGATTATGTTTCAGAACAGCGGACAGCAACCATATCCAACGCGAGATAAAGCGCATTTGTTATAAACTAATATTAGATTTATCAGTGTTGCACCATTATTTTTATGTTTTAGAGTGATGGACTGTGCCATCCCTGTGGCCTCAGCAATGGATTAGTCCACTGAGACAGGCACGAATCAGACAGGTGTCTTGTGCACCATAAAAAACATTTGCGACTGCTCGACGAAAGAAATCTCGGTCAACCAACAGCCTATCAACCAAACAATCGACCAGTGGACTAAATGGGGTCAGCCCTAATTTGTTTCCATCCCTGTTAGTGTGCATTTCTCCTTAGCCAAGATAACCCATCGACCTGACAGGTGTGGCATATCAATAATCTGATTAAACAGCATTATCATTACACAGGTGCACCTTGTGCTGGGAACAATAAAGGCCACTCTAAAATGTGCAGTTTTGTCACACAACACAATGCCACATATGTCTCAAGTTTTGAGGGAGCGCGCAATTGGCATGCTGACTGCAGGAATGTCCACCAGAGCTGTTGCCAGAGAATTTCATGTTCTCTGGCAACAGCGAACAGTGAAAATGTCATGTTCACCCCCATTTTTCCAGTTTTTGTTGAAATTTAAGCTGTTCAAGTCCAGTGAATAACCTGAAAGGGTACAGAGGTAAGCGGTAAACTGCCAGAGGTAAAAAAAAATAAGTACATTTCAGAGTTATAAAAAAATGCTTTTTTCAGGGAACAAGTAATGGGTTAACAACTTACAGCTGTTCTGCAGCAATGGAAGTAAATTAAGCCTTGAAAGTTGATGCTAACAATTCCTACAGGTGTCCCAACTTTTGTTGATTACTTCCAAACCCTCTGTCTGTATAAAAGCAGTGTTGGAACACACTGTGTTACTACACCCTCTTAAGCATTATTTGGACAGTATTGTACTGCAGGTAGTAGTATATTGCTATCATAATGGTGAGGAAAAGGCAATTAACAAAGGAAGACAGACAGACCATTATAACCCTTAAAAGTGTAGGTCTTTCCTTTAGAGAAATTGCAAAGAAAGCCAAGGTGTCAGTAAGTACAGTTTCCTACACCATCAAAAAGGCACTTGGAAACTCTGACAGGAAGAGGTCTGGCAGACCCAAAGCCACAACAGAATCAGAAGACAAGTTTATGAGCGTCAACAGCTTGCTAGATAGGCGGTTCACAGGACAACAGCTTCAAGCACAGCTTAACACTGGTCGAAGTAAGCAAGTCTCAGTTTCAACTGTGAAGAGAAGACTTCGAGCTGCAGGTTTGACAGGTCGAGAGGCAGTAAGAAAGCCATTGCTAAGATGGCAAAATAAGAAAAAGAGGCTTGCCTGGGCCATGAAGCACCGCCAGTGAATACTGGAAGAAGGTCTTATGGGCCGATTAATCAAAATGTGAAATCTTCGGTTCATCACGCAGGGTTTGTGTACGACGTTGAGTAGGTGAAAGGATTGTGCCTCAGTGTTTGACACCAACTGTCAAACATGGAGGAGGAAGTGTGATGGTCTGGGGCTCTTTTTCTGGATTCGGCGACTTGCACAGAGTGAGTGGCACCCTGAACCAAAATGGCACCGCAGCATTTTGGCAGTGCCATGCAATACCATCTAGTGTACGCCTAGTTGGTCAGGGGTTCCTACAGCTGTTATGTCTGCAAAAGGTGGCTACTTTGATGAGTCAAACATGTAGATTACATTTTGTTAAACAAAACGATTCCATGATTAATTTTTTGTCTCCAATTGTTTATTTGTTCTATGCTTTAATTTCAGAGTACATTAAGACAATGTGCATATGAAAACCATAACTGGCAAGCAGATCGGTAGTTCAGGGGAGTAATGGCAGAATCTGCGAAAGCCAGCAGAAGCGGGAGGAGAATAGTTGGGTCAGGTTACGTTTTTTTTCTTCTGGTTATCTAGATCTCTGGCACCCTCTTGAGGCATCAAACTGTACGCTTAAAGCATCAGACAAGCTCAATGCATATAGTTGATTTTATTAAAACACATAGGGTGTGTCTATATATGGAAAAATACACGTTTAAACATTTGCCAAAATAACATTTTTATATTTTTATATTTTCAATATTCATGTTTATCTTCTTCAATATTTGTAAATGAATATAAAACAAAAGTTATTGAAATCAAAATACTACTCATAATTCAGAGCAAGCGGTAAAGCTTAATATGCTTTGTAGCACCTACAGATGAAACACTATGGAGTCTTAAAGCAGGCCTGGGTAAGGCCAAAATGTTATAAATATTCCAAGTTTGATAAATAATTGTTCAATTATGCTTTTAGATACAAATGTCCAATATATGTCAACAATCCGTCCTCTGAAGGACTCTTCTATTGATTACATTTCGTGAAAATCTCAAAATCATGGTCTTTTTTTGTTGTCTAGGTTTTGTGAGGACACACTGGGCACACACTGGTTGAATCAACGTTGTTTTTTCTCAATCAATTCAGCTGTCATACTGTAGGTCAGCGGTAAATGGTTAGTGATTCTCTGATCAAAAGTACTATATTACAGTGGGGAGAACAAGTATTTGATACACTGACGATTTTGCAGGTTTTCCTACTTACAAAGCATGTAGAGGTCTTTTTATCATAGGTACACTTCAACTGTGAGAGACTGAATCTAAAACAAAAATCCAGAAAATCACATTGTATGATTTTTAAGTAATTAATTTGCATTTTATTGCATGACATAAGTATTTGATCACCTACCGACCAGTAAGAATTCCGGCTCTCACAGACCTGTTAGTTTTTCTTTAAGAAGCCCTCCTGTTCTCCACTCATTACCTGTATAAACTGCACCTGTTTGAACTCGTTACCTGTATAAAAGACACCTGTCCACACACTCAATCAAACAGACTCCAACCTCTCCACAATGGCCAACACCAGAGAGCTGTGTAAGGACATCAGTGATAAAATTGTATGACATAAGTATTTGACCTCACACCTTGAGATGCTTCTTACGGAGCCACTCCTTAGTTGCCCTGGCTGTGTGTTTCGGGTCGTTGTCATGCTGGAAGACCCAGCCACGACCCATCTTCAATGCTCTTACTGAGGGAAGGAGGTTGTTGGCCAAGATCTCGCGATACATGGCCCCATCCATCCTCCCCTCAATACGGTGCAGTTGTCCTGTCCCCTTTGCAGAAAAGCATCCCCAAAGAATGATGTTTCCACCTCCATGCTTCACAGTTGGGATGGTGTTCTTGGGGTTGTACTCATCCTTCTTCTTCCTCCAAACACGGCGAGTGGAGTTTAGACCAAAAAGCTCTATTTTTGTCTCATCAGACCACATGACCTTCTCCCATTCCTCCTCTGGATCATCCAGATTGTCATTGGCAAACTTCAGACGGGCCTGGACATGCGCTGGCTTGAGCAGGGGGACGTTGCGTGCGCTGCAGGATTTTAATCCATGACGGCATAGTGTGTTACTAATGGTTTTCTTTGAGACTGTGGTCCCAGCTCTCTTCAGGTCATTGACCAGGTCCTGCCGTGTAGTTCTGGGCTGATCCCTCACCTTCCTCATGATCATTGATGCCCGACGAGGTGAGATCTTGCATGGAGCCCCAGACCGAGGGTGATTGACCGTCATCTTGAACTTCCATTTTCTAATAATTGCGCCAACAGTTGTTGCCTTCTCACCAAGCTGCTTGCCTATTGTCCTGTAGCCCATCCCAGCCTTGTGCAGGTCTACAATTTTATCCCTGATGTCCTTACACAGCTCTCTGGTCTTGGCCATTGTGGAGAGGTTGGAGTCTGTTTGATTGAGTGTGTGGACAGGTGTCTTTTATACAGGTAACGAGTTCAAGCAGGTGCAGTTAATACAGGTAATGAGTGGAGAACAGGAGGGCTTCTTAAAGAAAAACTAACAGGTCTGTGAGAGCCGGAATTCTTACTGGTTGGTAGGTGATCAAATACTTATGTCATGCAATAAAATGCAAATTAATTACTTAAAAATCATACAATGTGATTTTCTGGATTTTTGTTTTAGATTCAGTCTCTCACAGTTGAAGTGTACCTATGATAAAAATTACAGACCTCTACATGCTTTGTAAGTAGGAAAACCTGCAAAATCGGCAGTGTATCAAATACTTGTTCTCCCCACTGTATATTTATTTTCATTTACTTGTATTACTTTGAATGAGCCCTGAAGTATCCACTATATTTAAATATATATGCTTTTGTAAAGATGAATACGTACATTCTGAGGGATTGATTCAAACTAAGCCCCAACCGTTCCACTTCAGCTTTTATAGTTTTTCTGGGGTGTCTAACTAATGAACTGACGCAAAGTGTGTCACAGCAAATGTTTATTCCCCCCCACAAAGTCTGATTCACTTCAAACTGATCTTCCCACACATATAGTATTTTTCACTGTATGGCTTTTTCACAGTTTCCCTCTCCATATGTTACTTTCTGTAATCTCAACCCATTTATCCTGGCTATGCTTCATGGGGTACCAATTTACTCTCCCTCCCTGAACATATAGTAAAAAATGCTGACCTTTTGTGTTTGTATCGCCACATTGTTTTCTCTGATCTGTATGGTTGTAGGCAACTATATGTGTGTTTATACATTCATTACATTTAAATCTATACATATGCACATGGTCTTCCAGCTCCAGTATTGCCTGTGGCAGTCGCACAGGGAACGACCTGAATGCTGATGCAAACACAACACATTCTGATGCCCTCTGGTTGGAAATCATATGGAAATGATGGCCCCATCAAAACAAAAAGATCACTATGGACTCTCTCTGAAAATGCTGCATGTCAGGCAATCGGAGGGGGATATGCTTCCATTACCTTGTCATTCACAATGCTCTTCCCATCCCAGGCCCAGCCGCGCTTGGTGAAGTAGTTGACGGTGGCAAACTCAATGAGGGCGGAGAAGACGAAGGCGTAGCAGACAGCGATGAACCAGTCCATGGCCGTGGCGTAGGCCACCTTGGGGAGGGAGTTACGAGCACTTATACTCAGGGTGGTCATTGTCAGCACAGTGGTTACACCTAGGGGGAACAGAAAACTGTTTCAGTTTCAGCTTGGTCAGTTTCCTTTGATTATAATTCAATCATTTTAAGTACCTTATCTACAGATACCATGTACAGCCAAGTAATTACAGTCTGGTTAGCAAAGAAGCGTAGGTGTATAGTAATAACATGGTATAACGGCGACTTAATATACAGTGTTTCTATTTTATGGAACATAGTTGTACGAAAGGCTATGGAGAAATAGCAGTTATCATAGTACTGTAGAATAGATAGAAGTTCATCATATCAGAGCTGAAGCTCTGCCCACCTGTGAAGTGGGGGATCTCCAGCTCCTGTGTTTTCCTCACTAGTTAGCATTCACTAGTTAGCCAGTGTGCGTCCTGGCTGATATGTAAGTACATATTCTAGGACATATTCAAGTCGCAACAAAATGGAATATAATGTTGCGGATAAAGTTCAGAATGACACAATTTCACATGTACAACATCTAAAGACCTGCATCACTATACTGAGAGCTTTTCCGTTTCTAAAAGGACATACAGTTGAAGTTGTAAGTTTACATACACTTAGGTTGGAGTCAGTAAAACTCGTTTTTCAACCACTCCACAAATGTCTTGTTAACAAACTATAGTTTTGGAAAGTCGGTTAGGACATCTACTTTGTGCATGACACAAGTAATTTTTCCAACAATTGTTTACAGACAGATTATTTCACTTAGAATTCACTGTATCACAATTCCAGTGGGTCAGAAGTTTACATACACTAAGTTGACTGTGCCTTTAAACAGCTTGGAACATTCCAGAAAATGATGTCATGGCTTTAGAAGCTTCTGATAGGCTAATTGACATCATTTGAGTCAATTGGAGGTGTACCTGTGGATGTATTTCAAGGTCTACCTCCTTTGCTTGACATCATGGGAAAATCAAAAGAAATCAGCCAAGACCTCAGAAAAAAAATTGTACACCTCCACAAGTCTGGTTCATCCTTGGGAGCATTTTCCAAATGCCTGAAGGTACCACGTTCATCTGTACAAACAATAGTACGCAAGTATAAACACCATGGGACCACGCAGCCGTCATACCGCTCAGGAAGGAGACACGTTCTGTCTCCTAGAGATGAATGTACTTTGGTGCGAAAAGTGCAAATCAATCCCAGAACAACAGCAAAGGACCTTGTGAAGATGCTGGAGGAAACAGGTACAAAAGCCACTGCTCCAAAACCGCTATAAAAAAGCCAGACTACAGTTTGCAACTGCACATAGGGACAACGATCGTAGTTTTTGCAGAAATGTCCTCTGGTCTGATGAAACAAAAATGGAACTGTTTGGCCATAATGACCATCATTATGTTTGGAGGAAAAAGGGGGTGCTTGCAAGCCGAAGAACACCATCCCAACCATGAAGCACGGGGGTGGCAGCATCATGCTGTGGGGGGTGCTTTGCTGCAGGAGGGACTTGTGCACTTCACAAAATAGATGGCATCATGAGGAAGGAAAATGATGTGGATATATTGAAGCAACATCTCAAGACATCAGTCAGGAAGTTAAAGCTTGGTCGCAAAAGGGTCTTCCAAATGGACAATGCATACTTCCAAAGTTGTGGCAAAATGGCATAAGGACATCAAAGTCAAGGTATTGTAGTGGCCATCACAAAGCCCTGACCTCAATCCTATAGAAAATGTGTGGGCAGAACTGAAAAAGCGTGTGCGAGCAAGGAGTCCTACAAACCTGACTCAGTTACACCTGCTCTGTCAGGAGGAATGGGCCAAAATCCACCCAACTTATTGTGGGAAGCTTTTGGAAGGCTACCTGAAACGTTTGACCCAAGTTAAACAATTTAAAGGCAATGCTACCAAATACTAATTGAGTGTATGTAAACTTCTGACTCACTGGGAATGTGATGAAAGAAATATAACCTGAAATAAATTATTCTCTCTACTAATATTCTGACATTTCACATTCTTAAAATAAAGTGGTGATCCTAACTGACCTAAGACAGGGAATCTTTACTAGGATTAAATGTCAGGAATTGTGAAAAACTGAGTTTAAATGTGTTTGGCTAAGGTGTATGTAAACTTCTGACTTCAACTGTATTTGGGCGTTTAATGTTCATGCTTTTTCAGAGCCCCAGTACTGCACAATGAGGATGAGGAAGTGAATCGCTGGTTGGGGTAAGTTTCTCAAAAACAAGTGAAAATGTAAAAAAAGTGTCTGGATCCTTCTATAACATGCCATTTACATCAAACAATTTTATTTGGTTGTAAACAAGCAAAATTCTAATTGAACATGTCCCAACGTATGCTTTACTGTAACAAAAAAAGCAAGATGACATTTAGGATACTTCAGATGCGCAACTTGAAGACTCCGTTCAGAACATGGCTTGGTCAAGGAGCTGAACTTTCTCTTTACCATATCCTGCACTTTCCTCAGGCAGTCTTCTTTTAGGTCAAACTCTGTAGTTAGTTTTGGTTGCCCTTTAAAGGTATGTGTTGCAGGAAGTAAACAGGAAAGTCGTAAATAACAAGAATACTAATATCTCCGGGACAGAACCCTGGGGAACACAATATTTAAACTTGGAAGTAATTAGAGGGTTCATCCAGTTGCACAAGCTGGTATCTAACTCAACTGTAAAATTATTGCCTCTAGATCATCAATAATTGACATTGCAACATATGATGCATAGTTTTTTTGTGCGCATAAGTGAAATACCATGTCTGCTACTTGAACTGTACCCTTGTATATCAATGGGTGTCACGATCGTCTAATGAGGACCAATGCGCAGCGTTGAAGGTGAACATCTTTTATTAGATAAATGATCACACGATCAAAATAACAAACGAAACGTGACGTCTACAGTTGAACACAACCCAACGAGAACAAGAAACCACAAAACACAAAGTGAAAACCGACAGTTTAAATATGGCTCCCAATCAGAGACAACGAGCCAACAGCTGACACTCGTTACCTCTGATTGGGAGTCACTCACACAAAGAAATACAATAACCTAGACCCACAACAAAACATAGAAACTAACACCCTGGCTCAACATACGAGAGTCCCCCGAGCCAGGGCGTGACAATGGGGACATTGATTGATGACAGCATATATATCAAAATAAAAAAGCAGACCTTTTTCCCCAAAAATAATTTCATGCCACATTTGCACCTGATGTTTTGATTTGAGGGCTGTGTGAAAACATTGTGACTTCAAGCTCCACTGAAATTCCACTTTTCTCAGATTTCCTGGGAAGTGGGAATTAAAAACATTGTCTGCAAATAAGAGACAAGACTGTATTTACTCAAATTGTTAATTTAGAACTAAGGTAGAGAATTTTACATTTTTAAATTTTTAATCATTTAGCAGACGCTCTTATCCAGAGCGACTTACAGGAGCAATTAGGGTTAAGTGCCTTGCTCAAGGGCACATCGACAGAAAAATAAATGCTTGAATTTCTTTAACCTAGTTTTTTCTTATCTGAAGAAAAAACATTAATTCGCTGCCCACTTCGCCGAGGGTATACTATCTGTGGCACTGAAATATGAGGAGACTTAAAGGGACACAGAGAATTATAAACCAACTAACTCCCTCTTTTCAGATCAAACCCAATCAGATCTAGAAATGTGCTGATCCTTTAAAGCTGGTTACACAACTATGGCCCATTCTACCGTGAACATGTCAGGATGGTTGTTGGCGGTGCTGCATACACACTAACATACACTTTTGAGGGTGTTAGTACTGTATGCCAGGCTAGCACAGCGTCCCTTCTGTATTACCAAACCAATCTACCAGTAAAGCCTGGAACAGAAATTTCACCATAAACTGGATTTAAAAAAGGTAACTTGTGAAAGGTAGTTATTACAAAACCTAAATTATTTGTATGTTTGTATTAAGCAGAAAACATTATTATCATACAGTAACTGCTAAACGGAACCTATTTTTTCACTAGATGGAGTTATGTGGCCTTTAGAGTCATACAGCTCCAGGGTAGATTTTTAACTGCCATCTTAAGTCAAAAGTTGCTTGCTCTGTTTACATGATTCATTCAGAAAGGTTATTCACACCAATAAGAAAAAATAAGTTGCTGACTTTATTGTGTAATGTGCTTATCCTTTATATAATATATTGTGTTTATCATGTGTGAATGGTAATCATCTCTTCAGTGATATGACTGTGCTGTACATGTGTTTTCAAATGACCAAATCAAATCAGTCAATCAATGTCTGCCCATGTGTATGGAGCATATTTTTGCAGTCTATGCAGTCCATGGGGGAATATTAACCCAATGACTCCCACCGTCACGCCGGCGTGATTTAGGACTTCTAACCCCTTTTAAACTTTGTGTTTGAGCTACAGACTTCTGGGTTGCACCATTTGATTTGTCTATTTCTTTTGATTAACATGGGGCTGAGCTTGAGCAATGTTTGTGAGATGAGGGCGGATCCCAAAGGGGCCAGGTCTTTTTTACAAAATGTCTGTAGAGTCAGAATGGTTTGAGCCACAAACTATTATAAGCTGAGACTCGCATGAACACGCACGTGTAACATGTTTTGCTCTATGATGCTCACAAGCTACACAAGAGTCATTAGAAGGTCAGGGGTTCGTCTACATAGAAGATCATAGGAAATTCCAGGACATGGTGTCTATAATACTGTAATAAGCTCACATAGTTGCTGTCACAACCTCCAAACCACATAGTTGTCACTGACTTGTTGGATATTAATTCCCCACTGAGTAAACAATTTCTGTACTTACAGCATTCATATGCATTCATTTTGATCCGTTTTTGTCTTTGGCTGACCTTATTTTCAATAAAGCTCATAAATGCAACTGTTTATGTCAAATTGTTTTGTGTTCTACTTGCTGCCCTGGTTTCCCTGAAAAGAAAATGGTAAAATACTTCAATTGTGAAGCTAAATATAAGGGGTGGACATGCAGATAAATGAAAGTCACATAAATGAAAACGCCTATTTTTGCTGGGGTCTCGGGACTGGCACTGGCTCCCAAATAACCCCCTGCTTTTCGTAAACAGTCCTGATCACACTATTAAGCTAGCCCTCCTCTTGGCCACTAGCGCTAGATTCAATTACCTTGCTATGGCAGAACAAAAACGAACTTGGCTTTTCAGGCAGTCGCACAGGATCACATTGGAACAAGTGTTGCTCATTCATTACACAGTAATACAAACAGCTATACTGCAGAGTGGGTAGGAAAACAGGCAAACGGACACACAGGGCACATCCCCAAGGCTCCTGGCACCACAGAGCAAAACTGAACTGCAGTTAGGCAGTCTGCATGACATGATAACTGGCCACTACTACAGTTGAAGTCGGAAGTTTACATACACTTAGGTTGGAGTCATTACAACTCGTTTTTCAACCACTCCACTAATTTCTTGTTAACAAACTATAACTTTGGCAAGTCAGTTTGACACAAGTAATTTTTCCAACAATTGTTTACAGACAGATTATTTCACTTATAATTCACTGTATCACAATTCCAGTGGGTCAGAAGTTTACATACACTAAGTTGACTGTGCCTTTCAACAGCTTGGAAAATTCCAGAAAATGATGTCATGGCTTTAGAAGCTTCTGATAGGCTAATTGACATCATTTGAGTCAATTGGAGGTGTACCTGTGGATGTATTTCAAGGCCTACCTTCAAACTCAGTGCCTCTTTGCTTGACATCATGGGAAAATCAAAAGAAATCAGCCAAGACCTCAGAAAATAAATGGTAGACCTCCACAAGTCTGGTTCATCCTTGGGAGCAATTTCCAAACGCCTGAAGGTACCACGTTCATCTGTACAAACAATAGTACGCAAGTATAAACACCATGGGACCACGCAGCTGTCATACCGCTCAGGAAGGAGACATGTTCTGTCTCCTAGAGCTGAACGTACTTTGGTGCAAAAAGTGCAAATCAATCCCAGAACAACAGCAAAGGACCTTGTGAAGATGCTGGAGGAAAAGTATCTATATCCACAGTAAAACGAGTCCTATATCGACATTACCTGAAAGGCCGCTCAGGAAGGAAGAAGCCACTGCTCCAAAACCGCCATAAAAAAGCCAGACTACGGTTTGCAACTGCACATGGGGAAAAATATCGTACTTTTTGGAGAAATGTCCTCTGGTCTGATTAAACAAAAATAGAACTTTTTGGCCATAATGACCATCGTTATGTTTGGAGGAAAAAGGGGAGAGCTTGCAAGGTGAAGAATACCATCCCAACCGTGAATCACGGAGTAGGCAGCATCATGCTGTGGGGGTGCTTTGCTGCAGGAGGGACTGGTGCACTTCACAAAATAGATGGCATCATGAGGAAGGAAAATTATGTGGATATATTGAAGCAACATCTCAAGACATCAGTCAGGAAGTTAAAGCTTGGTCGCAAATTGGTCTTCCAAATGGACAATGACCCCAAACATACTTCCAAAGTTGTGGCAAAATGGCTTAAGGACAACAAAGTCAAGGTATTGTAGTGGCCATCACAAAGCCCTGACCTCAATCCTATAGAAAATTTGTGGGCAGAACTGAAAAAGTGTGTGCGAGCAAGCAGGCCTACAAACCTGACTCAGTTACACCAGCTCTGTCAGGAGGAATGGGCCAAAATTCACCCAACTTATTATGGGAAGCTTGTGGAAGGCTACCCGAAACGTTTGACACAAGTTAAACAATTTAAAGAAAATGCTACCAAATACTAATTGAGTGTATGTAAACTTCTGACCCACTGGGAATGTGATGAAAGAAATAAAAGCTGAAATAAATCATTCTCTCTACTATTATTCTGACATTTCACATTCTTAAAATAAAGTGGTGATCCTAACTGACCTAAAACAGGGAATGGGTATTAGGATTAAATGTCAGGAATTGTGAAAACCTGAGTTTAAATGTATTTGACTAAGGTGTATGTAAACTTCCGACTTCAACTGTATGTCACCAATGCAGGACCAAGCCAAAATAAGAAGGGAGGGAGAGAGAAAGAGATATAGTGAGACAGGGTAAGAAGAGGACCAATGCTTGGGTAAGTAAAAACAAAATGGTGGGAGAAAGAAAGTGATACGGATAGAGCAAAAGGGTTACACACAAATAAACTCCAACTTTTGTGCATATCTCCCTTTGACATTAAAGCAGGATAGGTGGCCCCATACTCACCAAACACAGTCCTAGCTGGCACCGACTCTCTGTTCAGCCAGAAGGACACTTGGGAGAGGATGACGGTCATGATGCATGGTAGATAGGTCTGGATCACAAAGTAGCCAATCTTCCGCTTCAAATGGAAATGTGCCGTCATGACAGTGTATTCGCCTGTAGAAATGAAGAGTGCTTTATTAACTTATATTGTCCCAACTACAGTACCACTCTGAATTATAGCCATATTTTTTCAAGTACAATTCTATTAGTTTTTTTCAACCAGTTCACATTTATCACTATGCGAATTCATAATAATATGGATGTGGATAGTTTCGGTTTAATATACAATGTAAAAAAAAAGATGCACTTTTCAGAGTTCAAACAAGGCCAATTGAATAAAGCATTGCACATTGTAACTGTATAACTGCGACTCAAAACTAAAGCGCTACCGAGGACATGAAATGATGCCAATGGCGCAACAGCATGCACAACTTGTAATGGGAGAATATCTAAAAAATAACCCAAGATTAGAGATGAGTAGAGAAAGATGTGTGTTACCCATGGCAACAGAAGAGAGAAATACACTGCTCAAAAAAATTAAGGGAACACTTAAACAACACAATGTAACTCCAAGTCAATCACACTTCTGTGAAATCAAACTGTCCACTTAGGAAGCAACACTGATTGACAATACATTTCACATGCTGTTGTGCAAATGGAATAGACAACAGGTGGAAATTATAGGCAATTAGCAAGACAACCCCAATAAAGGACTGGTTTTGCAGGTGGTGACCACAGACCACTTCTCAGTTCCTATGCTTCCTGGCTGATGTTTTGGTCACTTTTGAATGCTGGCGGTGCTTTCACTCTAGTGGTAGCATGAGACGGAGTCTACAACCCACACAAGTGGCTCAGGTAGTGCAGCTCATCCAGGATGGCACATCAATGCGAGCTGTAGCAAAAAGGTTTGCTGTGTCTGTCAGCGAAGTGTCCAGAGCATGGAGGCGCTACCAGGAGACAGGCCAGTACATCAGGAGACGTGGAGGAGGCTGTAGGAGGGCAACAACCCAGCAGCAGGACTGCTACCTCCGCCTTTGTGCAAGGAGGAGCAGGATGAGCACTGCCAGAGCCCTGCAAAATGACCTCCAGCAGGCCACAAATGTGCATGTGTCTGCTCAAACGGTCAGAAACAGACTCCATGAGGGTGGTATGAGGGCCCGACGTCCACAGGTGGGGGTTGTGCTTACAGCCCAACACCGTGCAGGACGTTTGGCATTTGCCAGAGAACACCAAGATTGGCAAATTCGCCACTGGCACCCTGTGCTCTTCACAGATGAAAGCAGGTTCACACTGAGCATGTGACAGACGTGACAGAGTCTGGAGACGCCGTGGAGAACGTTCTGCTGCCTGCAACATCCTCCAGCATGACCGGTTTGGCGGTGGGTCAGTCATGGTGTGGGGTGGCATTTCTTTGGGGGGCCGCACAGCCCTCCATGTGCTCGCCAGAGGTAGCCTGACTGCCATTAGGTACCGAGATGAGATCCTCAGACCCCTTGTGAGACCATATGCTGGTGCGGTTGGCCCTGGGTTTCTCCTAATGCAAGACAATGCTAGACCTCATGTGGCTGGAGTGTGTCAGCAGTTCCTGCAAGAGGAAGGCATTGATGCTATGGACTGGCCCGCCCGTTCACCAGACCTGAATCCAATTGAGCACATCTGGGACATCATGTCTCGCTCCATCCACCAACGCCACGTTGCACCACAGACTGTCCAGGAGTTGGCGGATGCTTTAGTCCAGGTCTGGGAGGAGATCCCTCAGGAAACCATCCGCCACCTCATCAGGAGCATGCCCAGGTGTTGTAGGCAGGTCATACAGGCACGTGAAGGCCACACACACTACTGAGCCTCATTTTGACTTGTTTTAAGGACATTACATCAAAGTTGGATCAGCCTGTAGTGTGGTTTTCCACTTTAATTTTGAGTGTGACTCCAAATCCAGACCTCCATGGGTTGATACATTTGATTTCCATTGATCATTTATGTGTGATTTTGTTGTCAGCACATTCAACTATGTAAAGAAAAAAGTATTTAATAAGATTATTGAATTCATTCAGATCTAGGATGTGTTATTTTAGTGTTCCCTTTTTGAGCAGTGTATATCTCATTTGTTTGCGATTCTGAAATGAAGATACTGCCACTTGGCAGAAGGAAACTCCTTTTCAGTAGACTGTAGAGCGGGATTCTTTTCTGGCTAATCCCAAAATATTTTGTATCCCTGTTATTCAAGAGCACTTGCAGTATTGCCTGCTTTCCACCCATTTAGAGGGAGTCTTAATGCTTTCCACAACAGGTGGAAAACGTGGGATCATATGGACACTGAGTGCTTGAGGATCTGGACTATGCAGATTATCTCGCTTTTCTTGCAGGTCGACATCAGGACGTGCAGGCAAAAACTCAGAAGTTGGTAGACCGCACAAATGGCAGGACTCAATATCAACATTCAAAAGACAAAAACCATGAGGATGAACACCGAAACCAACACACCAATCAACATCAACAACACTGCTTTGGAAGAGATGGACGGATGGCAATTCCATGAGCGATGTGACCACCATGTTAAGACCAGTATGGAGAGCTAAGAACATCAGCCTATCACTCAACATCTGCATCTTCAAAAGCAATGTCCTCAAGAGGTAGATGGAGGTATGGACATAACCCTCCTGACTCGGCCAGGGTTGGGAGTGCCAGAGACATGGATCTCACCCTTCACCCCTGGCTGAAGATGAAGACCACAGATTGGGCTGTTGCTCTTCTGTCCAATGGGGGTGGGTGGAGGTGTGTGGACCTAACTACCTGGCCTCAGCTTGGGGAGGCTATACAGAAGCACAGCCGAATGCTAAGATCCTGGGCCACTAAGGATGGGAAATACTGAAGATACTAATCTCTCCCTCCAATCCCGGTGGCGGCCTGGAGATGGTGGTGGTGAGGGACTCGCACTGTTCTAAAGCGGCAGATGGGAGGTGGCTAGCCTGCCCTCCCCTATAGCTTGTTAAGTCAGCCACATTTGATGGTGAATGGAGTAGACCAGGGATGCCTTCCCAGCAGATGAGCAATGCACTCTCATTACAGAATGAGGCAGGAGACATAGGGCAGTGCTGACGTACCCCTCTGTTGGTGTAAATGAAGATGGAGAGCCTGGTTCTAGATAGCTTCAGCCTCCTGTCGGGACTGATGACGCCAGCACACCCTCCCTCATTAATTCATTGAAATTTACAAGTATTAACTTGTAGTTATTTTGTCATTTCCTGCCCTCTCATTTGCTTTGGAAAACACCCCCCTGTCCTATCTGTGAGTCAATGTAAAAATACAACAAAATGAAGTGATTTGCTAAAAGTATTTTGCTGTTATGTTCGTGGCCCGATGCAAGATTTCCCTCGCACTCGAGTACAGCCAGTTTTGCCAAACGACCTAGTTTACTGCACCGGTAGACTACACACTGACACAGTACTAATGAATGATTAATTTAAACACAATCAGCAAATATGTAGGGGATAGTCAAACGAAGGGATTCAGCGAAGGGGGCTCCTCCGTATTTCACTTGGACAACGCTCCTATAATAATATAATATAATATGCCATTTAGCAGACACTTTTATCCAAAGCGACTTACAGTCATGCGTGCATACATTTTTTTTTTTTTGTGTATGGGTGGTCCCGGGGTTAGAACCCACTACCTTAGCGTTACAAGCGCCGTGCTCTACCAGCTGAGCTACAGAGGACCACCTCCTAGTGGCACTTAGTCCCAGGAATTCAATCTTTTAAGCACTGAACTTTCAGACCAGTGGCATATGACTGGATCATTTAGTTGAGATCGGAGGGCTTTCTCCTCAATGAAAACAGATTAGGAATTCCCATTGGATGTTGAAACGCCCAACAGTAATATTCTCTACATCGTTGGAATGTATACTTATGTGTAATAATGGATAGTGGCACTAAACCTGGGAGTGTGTGATGTCTAAGTGAAGGGGAAGAAGAAGGGGAAGGAAGGAGGAGGGGAAAGGAGGGATGACAGAGCAGGACAAGAGTTCAATCAACGCTGCATAGAACCACTGACCTGGTCATGAAGATCCTAAAGAGCGTTTCAAACATGTTATGACATGTGCGACGAGAGTGCTCCCCAGAAACACATGCGGAGACATGCAGAGGGGGCAGATACTAATCATTTACTACATTGGCCACCGTATTGATCCACTTGTCTGCCACAGTCATGGTGACAAGAAAATCCATGCCATGCAACATAGCTGGAGCACATCCCATATTCTCTGAGGTTTCTCTGATTTTCTCTGGGTTTCTCTGAGGTTTCTCTGGGTTTCTCTGGGTTTCACTGGGTTTCTCTGAGGTTTCTCTGAGGTTTCCCTGAGGTTTCTTTGGGTTTCTCTGGGTTTCTCTGGGTTTCTCTGAGGTTTCTCTGAGGTTTCTCTGAGGTTTCTCTGGGTTTCTCTGTGTTTCTCTGGGTTTCTCTGAGGTTTCTCTGAGGTTTCTCTGAGGTTTCTCTGAGGTTTCTCTGAGGTTTCTATGTGGCTATAAATACTGTAACTATTATTCTCTATTTTCCTAGGAGCTTTTCACATTATTCAAAGCAGCCAACATCTCCCTAGTATACTTTGCTTTTATTCCAATGGTGGAGCTCAGTCAAGAAATGTAATGTAATAAAAAAAAGAATATAATTAAACGGTGCCTTCTGCTTTCCCTCAGTATTATACATACCCTACCTGTCAAAACACCTACTCATTCAAGGGTTTTGCTTTATTTTTTACTATCTTCTACATTGTAGAATAATAGTGAAGATATCAAAACTATGAAATAACAAATATGGAATCATGTAGTAACCAAGAAAGTGTTAACAAATCAAAATATATTTTATATTTGAGATTCTTCAAATAGCCACCCTTTGCCTTGATGACAGCTTTGCACACTCTTGACATTCTCTCAACCAGCTTCATGAGGTAGCCACCTGGAATCCATTTCAATTAACAGGTGTGCCTTCTTAAAAGTTAATTCGTGGAATTTCTTTCCTTCTTAATTCATTTGAGCCAATCAGTTGTGTTGTGACAAGGTAGGGGGGGTATACAGAAGATAGCCCTATTTGGTAAAAGACCAAGTCCATATTATGGCAAGAACAGCTCAAATAAGCAAAGAGAAACGACAGTCCATCATTACTTGAAGACATGAAGGTCAGTCAATACGGAACATTTCAATAACTTTGAACGTTTCTTCAAGTACAGTCGCAAAAACCATCAACCGCTATGATGAAACTGGCTCTCATGAGGACCGCGAAAGGAATGGAAGACCCAGAGTTACCTCTGCTGCAGAGGATAAGTTAATTAGAGTTACCAGCCTCAGAAATTGCAGCCCAAATAAATGCTTCACAGAGTTTGAGTTTGAGTTTGAGTTTATTTTTACAGGGACAGTGCACATTAATCAACGTTTCAGTAAAAGTGCCGGTTTTAGCCAGCCGCAGTCCCTGGGCAGGTTATTAAAAACAATTACAATATAGACAATAACAACATAGAACAAGACATAGCATACAGACATAGCACCATAGGACAAACAAGACGTAGCATACAGACCGAGCAACATAGAACAAAAAGCAGCAAGACAAAATTCATAAAAGCAACAAAGTGTTTCCACACCTCACAAGTTACAGACAACAGACATGGAAAGCGGCAACACACAGCTAGGGACCATGTTCACAAATCTGATTGACCTTTAGCCATGTCTTCAAGCATTTTGTGAAAGTGTGATATGTGTTCAAGTAACAGACACATTTCAACATCAACTGTTCAGAGGAGACTGTGTGAATTAGGCCTTCATGGTTGAATTGCTGCAAAGAAACCACTACTAAATGACACCAATAAGAAGACGAGACTTGCTTGGGCCAAGAAACACGAGCAATGGACATTAGACCGGTGGAAATGTGTCCTTTGGTCTGGAGTCCAAATTGGAGATTTATGGTTCCAACCGCCGTGTCTTTGTGAGACGCGGTGTGGGTGAACGGATGATCTCCGCATGTGTATTTCCCACCGTAAAGCATGGAGAACGAGGTGTTGGGTGTGGGGGTGCTTTGCTGGTGTCTGTGATTTATTTAGAATTCAAGGCACACTTAACCAGCATGGCTACCACAGCATTCTGCAGCAATACGCCATCCCATCTGGTTTGGGCTTAATGGGACTATCATTTGTTTTTCAACAGGACAATGACACAACACACCTCCAGGCAGTATTTTACCAAGAAAGGGAGTGATGGAGTGCTGCTTCAGATGACCTGGCCTCCACAAACCCCCGACCTCAACCAAATTGAGATGGTTTTGATGAGTCTTACTGCAGAGTGAAGGAAAAGCAGCCAACAAGTGCTCAGCATATGTGGGAACTCCTTCAAGACTGTTGGAAAAGCATTCCAGGTGAAGCTGGTTGAGAGAATGCCAAGAGTGTGCAAAGCTGTCATCAAGGCAAAGGGTGGCTATTTGAACAATCTCAAATATAAAATATATTTTGATTTGTTTAACACTTTTTTGGTTACTACATGAGTCCATATGTGTTATTTCATACTTTTGATGTCTTCACTATTATTCTACAATGTAGTGTATTTTGTAACACAACTTAAATCAGATGAATAATTGCATTTCGAAAGGTCACAATGCTCAATGTTGACAAAGAACCTGTTCGCCATACAGCTAAACCGAGCTTGTCTGTCTTCTCGGTGGAGTGTATGTGTCACTGTCGGATGCCTCTCCTTACGCTAATGACTCCCCTCCAACCCCTTTGTTGAAACCTTTTCCCATCTGTTCCTATACACATACTTTTCCCTCCCTTTTTTACTGTGTGTATCCGAGGCCCAGAACACAGCATTTCATCCCCATTTATCGCTCTGGTGCACTTTTGTGAGACAAGGCTCCTCTTGTGTCTTACGACAGCTCCAAAATAAGACCAGCAGTACAGCTCAGGAATAAGAAGGCGGCCCTCCTTTCAGAACGAAGCTCCCCTGTGTGTCTGAGTGAATGGCAGCTCCTAGAGCTGTGCTTCTGCTTCCAACTGAATGTTGCAATTGGGCACAAAGCGCTCGCTTACTCTCCCTCACTCTCCCTCACTCTCCTCTCCAACCGACTGAGCAGAACAGGAGTTTTCCCCTCTTGCCTCCTGTAGGAGGCTGCGCACCTGTGTCAATGAAGCCTTTGTAGTCCGATTGGTCTAAAGTGGAGAGTCTCTTGTTTCAACAGTCAAAGCAGAATCGGTTGTTGTTTTGTCCAGTTGATTCCCTAGTCAGACTAAAATGTATTTTGGAGAGATTCTAGTCGAATAAGCTTATCAGACATGCAGTGCAGTTACTGTCTCTCCAGCTGAGAGGACTGTTTTAGTATGATAGACCTCGTAACAAGGACACGGACTAAACATTCTTTCAGCCTCTGTTATCCACTGGCTGGGTCAACAAATAGTGTTTCGCAACCTGGATTTCTAGTACTCTTGGTGAGACTTGGCCTATCCACAGTGGGCTCTTTGGAGGATTTCATAAGGATCGCCATCCCCATGAGCGTGCCACCCTCTTTCTGGCCATAGATGAGGCATGTGACGACATCATTGCAGACCAATGTCAAGCTTGGATTCGTCATGACAAAAGGTTTTTCCCACGGTGCATGAACAATGAGGACATTCACTGTGATGTGGATGATAATTTATGGCCAAATGCTAAACATTGTTTGATTTTCATTTAATCTTTCATTTAATTTCTTACATTTGATTACAGACAGTACCCCTATGTTGCAATTATATCTTATTTTTTTTGCCTGAATGATTGTAGAGGATGTCTTCATTGATCACACCTTTGATTACACATTGGATAGATATTATGGAAATGATAGATTTTCTATAAATTTTGTTGGGTAATGTAAGTGTATTGCCTAATGTGAAAACGGTGTAATTTACAGTACTGTAGCATATTATTTTAAGCACTTCTAAGGGTGATTTCAAACACGTACTATCTTGCATTGTTTGCTATTGGATTAACTTGTAGTTAAAACGACTAAATTGAAAAGATATCATTATGTTGTGTTTTGGTGATTAAACCAATGTTCTTATTACATTTCACAATAAGCTTATATTTTGAATCAATGGTTGTGTGGTGAGAGATGTTTACAATCCAAATGAATGCACAATGACAGGTTTTGAATGAAAGACTGGCTGCGTTACAAGTGTGACCAGTTTGGGGTTTTGTACTAAGGGTATGTACCACATATTTGTGAAAATAGTACCAAAGCAATAATAAAAAAAGGTAATATCCTGAGTATACCTGTGCTGGACTTGATGGTTTCTTGGCCCACTGTTTGGCCGAGCAGGTCGTACTGGTTCAAACGGGAGCTCTCTCCTTCCACCACCACCGAGTCGGCAGGCTTACTGGTCCAGACGTAAGTCACCTCTGACATTGTATAGGCATCTAAGATCACAAAGAGAGTGAGGGTAGCACCATCAGCGTGGCATGTGAAAATAGGGTAGTGATTCAATCTTATTCCTGATAATTCAAGAGAAGGGTGTCTATTAAGTCACCGAACTGTTTAAGGGTTGTATAATTTCCAACAAAAAATCTACTCCAGATGCTTATCTCAATGACTATGTTGTATATTTGGTTGTCATTACATTTTGTTTGGCAACTGAAAGAAAATGACAATTGCCTTAAGAAATAAACACCTAGTATAAATTAGATAGGATCCAAATCACACCATATTAGTTTATATATATATATATATATATATATATATATATATATATATATATATATATATATATATACAGTACCAGTCAAAAGTTTGGACACACCTACTCATTCAAGGGTTTTTCTTTATTTTTACAATTTTTTACATTGTAGAATAATAGTGAAGGCATCAAAACTATGAAATAACACATATGGAATCATTTAGTAACCAAAAAAGTGTTAAACAAATCAAAATATATTTTATATTTGAGATTCTTCAAATAGCCACCCTTTGCCTTGATGACAGCTTCGCACACTCTTGGCATTCTCTCAACAAGCTTCACCTGGAATGCTTTTCCAACAATCTTGAAGGAGTTCCCACATATGCTGAGCACTTGTTGGCTGATTTTCCTTCACTCTGCGGTCCGACTCATCCCAAACCATCTCAATTGGGTTGAGGTCGGGGGATTGTGGAGGCCAGGTCATCTGATGCAGCACTCCATTTCATATAGTAAACATCGACAAACAGTGAGTCATCAATGCCATTAGGGAATCATATTCTTGCTGCGCCATGAAAACACTTAACATATTAACTCATCATTTCATTTAAAGTAAGGCTTGTATTATTAATTGGTTATTGGCAATGGTTGAGTTTCCCCCATGCGTCAAATCAATTAACATATAATAAAAAAAATCCCCATTAAAATCCATCTGTTTAAGCTAGAGATAGGTTTTTTGCATGGGCTGTGTCTCAATCCAGCGCATCCGCCTATGTCGGCCTTCCACATCTGCAGTGGAAAGTGGCAGAGCTACAGTGCTGTTTGGCAGACCAAGAGACATCCCAAAAATCGGTCTTCTCACAAAAACGTCTGCAGCGTCTGAAGTCGGTACCGCCGATTTGCCAACTTCTGTCTATAGCATCCATTATGGAAAGGGGAGACACTCACGAACACAATGGTGTTCTCTGTTTTGTTCTACGACCCCCACAAGTGTCACGGGACTCGTCTCAATGTAACCCAGTACTGGTTTCTAAAATGAATGGAAATATGGACATACACTTAAAAACCTTCCTTATGATTTATTTTGTGACTGTCTGTTTTGCCATTTATTAATGTGTTATTCAATGTGTTTCTATGGGCTACAGCAGTAAAAGCCTAATTCAATATTGTATCAAATATTTATTTTGATATTTTGTTATACCTGCAGTGTGCCTAAAATAAAAAATCTAATAGCTAAATGATCCATGGTATGACCATCTTAAAACAATTGCATCTGTTAGCTTAGTAGGGGATAATAGCCAAAAGTTTTATAGCCAGGGGATGGCTTGCAGTGTACTTCACAACATGCAATGTCACATATTGACTCACAGAGCATTTTATCGCTTTTAGGAGCTGAAGCATTTGGCCCCATTTGTTTTGTTTTGTTTATCGAAACAATTCAACACCCTCAGTGGTTATGGAATGGTTATTGCTGTAACTGGCAGAAGTTTGTAGCAGCAGAAACCGAGTCTATTCTTATCCTTGTGCCATTTCTGGTCTTGTATCCCCTATTTGTTTTGTTATGGTGTGGGATTGTATGCAGGGTTAAGGCTCACATCAAATGAAGTAAAGAAATTATATTCTGCCTCTTGGAAATTACAAAATGTGATGGTGTTGTTGACATGGAGGAGAGTGAGGATCAGCACTGAATGACACTGAATGACACCAAAAACAAAGTTCACATTCAAAGCTGGTGGCCGCAACTACATTTATTCTATTGATTAGACATTTTGCAGGATCAAATCTCTTGAGTGTCCAAATGAAAAACACTAAACAGAAAAAACAATACTTAGTAACAAGAATAATATGGCAAGTACTGTCTAATAATTATACAAATGAAATAATCATAATAAAAATTAAAATAAAGTTGTTATACAACTACAAATAGGCCTACAACTAATAACAATACTGCTACAACTACTTATACAACTAATAAAACGAAGTACTTATATACATATACTGTATACATACATACATACATAAATACATACATACAGTACCAGTCAAACGTTTGGACACACCTACTCATTCTTCTTTATTTTTTAAAACTATTTTCTACATTGTAGAATAATAGTGAAGACATCAAAAATATGAAATAATGCATATGGAATCATGTAGTAACCAAAAAAGTGTTAAACAAATCAAAATACATTTTATATTTTAGATTCTTCAAAGTAGCCAACCTTTGCCTTGATGACAGCTTTGCACACTCTTGGCATTCTCTCAACCAGCTTCACCTGGAATGCTTTTCCAACAGTCTTGAAGGAGTTCCCACATATGCTGAGCACTTGTTGGCTGCCTTTCCTTCACTCTGCAGTCGAACTCATCCCAAACCATCTCAACTGGGTTGAGGTCGGGTGATTGTGGAGGCCAGGTCATCTGATGCAGCACTCCAGCACTCTCCTTCTTGGTCAAATAGCCCTTACACAGCCTGGAGGTGTGTTGTGTCATTGTCCTGTTGAAAAACAAATGATAGTCCCACTAAGCCCAAACCAGATGGGAATCGCTGCAGAATGCTGTGGTAGCCATGCTGGTTAAGTGTGCCTTGAATTCTAAATAAATCACTGACAGTGTCACCAGCAAAGCACCCCAACACCATCACCTCCTCCTCCATGCTTCACGGTGGGAACCACACATACAGAGATTATCTGTTCACCTACTCTGCGTCTCACAAAGACACGGCGGTTGGAACCAAAAATCTCACATTTGGACTCATCAGACCAAAGGACAGATTTCCACCGGTCTGATGTCCATTGCTCGTGTTTCTTGGCCCAATCAAGTCTCTTCTTCTTATTGGTGTCCTTTAGTAGTGGTTTCTTTGCAGCAATTCGACCATGAAGGCCTGATTCACGCAGTCTCCTCTGAACAGTTGATGTTGAGATGTGTCTGTTACTTGAACTCTTTGAAGTATTTATTTGGGCTGCAATCTGAGGTGCAGTTAACTCTAATGAATTTATCCTCTGCAACAGAGGTAACTCTGGGTCTTCCTTTCCTGTGGCGGTCCTCATGAGAGCCAGTTTCATCATAGCGCTTAATGGTTTTTGCAACTGCACTTGAAGAAACTTTCAAAGTTCTTGAAATGTTCCGTATTGACTGACCTTCATGTCTTAAAGTAATGATGGACTGTCGTTTCTCTTTGCTTATTAGAGCTGTTCTTGCGATAATATGGACTAGGCCTTTTACCAAATCTTCTGTATACCAACCCTACCTTGTCACAACACAACTGATTGGCTCAAACGCATTAAGAAGGAAATAAATTCCACAAATTAACTCATGAAGCTGGTTGAGAGAATGCCAAGAGTGTGCAAAGCTGTCATCAAGGCAAAGGGTGGCTACTTTGAAGAATCTCAAATTTAAATATATGTTGATTTGCTTAACACTTTTTTGGTTACTACATAATTCCATATGTGTTATTTCATAGTTTTGATGACTTCACTATTATTCTACAATGTAGAAAATAGTAAAAATAAAGAAAAACCCTGGAATGAGTAGGTGTGTCCAAACTTTTGACTGGTACTGTACATGCATACATACATACATACATACATGCCTTCAGAAAGTATTCATGCCCCTTGACTTACTCCACATTTTGTTGTGTTACAGCCTGGATTCAAAATTGATTAAATCGTTTTAAAAAATCCCACCCATCTACACACAATACCCCATAATGACAAAGTGAACATTTATTCAAAATGAAATCTCATTTACATAAGTATTCACAACCCTGAGTCACCACAAGTTCGAATCACCTTTGGCAGCGATTACAGCTGTGAGTCTTTCTGGGTAAGTCTCTAAGAGCTTTGCACACCTGGATTGTACAATATTTGCACATTATTATTTTTTTAATTCTTCAAGCTCTATCAAGTTGGTTGTTGATCATTGCTAGTCAGCCATTTTTAAGTCTTGCCATAGATTCAAGCCGATTTAAGTCAAAACTGTAACTAGGCCACTCAGGAACACTCAATGTTGTCTTGGTAAGCTACTCCATTGTATATTTGGCCATGTGTTTTAGGCTATTGCCCTGCTGAAAGGTGAATTTTTCTCCCAGTGTCTGTTGGAAAGCAGACTGAACCAGGTTTTCCTTTAGGATTGTGCCTGTGCTTAGCTCTATTTCATTTCTTTTTATCCTAAAAAATGAATTAGTCTTTGCCGATGACAAGCATATCCATAACATGATGCAGCAACCACCATCATTGAAAATATGAAGAGTGATACTCAGTGATGTGTTGTGTTGGATTTGTCCCAAACATAACCTTTGTATTCAGGACATAAAGTTCATTTCTTTGCCACGTTTTTTGCAGTTTTACTTTAGTGCCTTATTGCAAACAGGATTCATGTTTTGGAATATTTATATTATGTACAGGCTTCCTTCTTTTCACTCGGTCATTTAGGTTAGTATTGTGAAGTAACTACAATGTCGTTGATCCATCCTCAGTTTTCTCCTATTACAGCCATTACACTCTGTAACTGTTTTAATGCCACCATCGGCCTCATGGTGAAATCCCTGAGTGGTTTCCTTTCTCTCCGGCAACTGAGTTAGGAAGGACGCCTGTATCTTTGTAGTGACTGGGTGTATTGATACACCATCCAAAGTGTAATTCATAACTTCACCATGCTCAAAAAGTTATTCAATGTCTGCTTCTTTTTATTTTGTTTTTCACATCTACCAATAGGTCACCCTTTTTTGCGAAGCATTGAAATTGTTTGTAATTCACTGCTCGACTGAGGGACCGTACAGATAATTGATTGTGTGGAGTACAGAGATAGTCATTCAAACACTATTATTGAAGACAGAATGAGTCCAAGCAACTTATTATTTGACTTGTTAAGCTATTTTTTACTCCTGAACTTATTTAGGTTTTCCATAACAAAGGGGTTGAATACTTATTGACTCAAGACATTTCAGCTTTTAATTTTTAATTAATTTGTAAAAATGTCTAAAAACACAATTCCACTTTGACATTATTGGGGTATTGTGTGTAGGCCAGTGACACAAAATCTAAATATAATCCATTTTAAATTCAGGCTGTTACACAACAAAGTGTGGAAAAAGTCAAGGGGTGTGAATACATTTAAGTCATTTAGCAGACGCTCTTATCCAGAGCGACATACAAATTGGTGCATTCAATTTAGGATAGCCAGTGGGACAACCACCCCCTTTATACTATTCCAGGTATTCCTTAAAGAGGTAGGGTTTCAAGTGTCTCCGGAAGGTGGTCAGTGACTCCGCTGTCCTGGTGTCGTGAGGGAGCTTGTTCCACCATTGGGGTGCCAGAGCAGTGAATAGCTTTGACTGGGCGGGAACTGTGCTTCAGTAGAGGTAGGGGGGCTAGCAGGCCAGCGGTGGATGAACGTAGTTTCTGAAGGCTCTGTTTTATCCATAGAAGGAGGCTTTTGGATTTCTAGTTTTAGTTTTACTAGTGTTTCTTAATTTTCTGTAGGACTCCCAATCAATTGGATCTTTAGTTCTACGGTACTTAGCCCAGGCTTTATCCCTTTCTCTGAACAGGTGACAGCCCTTAACTTTTACTGTTCTCCAAGGTGCATGTTTATCACATACCTTTGTGAATTCAGTGAGAAAGCAATCCCATGCATTTTGGGCTGATGGGATAAGTTGGAATCCAGTTGATTGATATTAAGTCATGAATGACATAATCAATATTATAAATAATTTATGAATAATCAATCAATATTTATATTTTTACATTGTCTTCAATTAATCAATTTAAGTGGTGCTTTAAGTATCTTAATTTCCCAAACACAGTAGACGATGGAATCAAATAATCACTGAAATAGTCTGGAAGAACCCCTGAATTTATAATCCTGATATAAAATCTATCAATTTATAAATCAATGTGTCCCGGCAACATATAACACACTACCTATTGAGCAATTCCATCTAGACAAACTAGACACATTTGATTCCTGCATGCATTTCAAATCACACTTTCTTTTCATGAGAGTCATGCCCTGGTGCCCTTAGTGACCCCATGTGTCTCTGCACTTGTCAATCATGCATTACTCACAGCTGCCAAACTTCAGGGGACATGAGTGGAAGTCCATGGGGAAATCTTCCAGATGCATAGGACACTCCGCGTGAACTGTCAACCTAGATACAACACACATGGGGCACTATGCGTCAATGTAACATCCAAAAACACACCCTTTTCACACGATTGTGCCGACCAAACTGTGCAGGCGTATATCCTTTTCACTTAGTTAATTTCTGCACTGTTCCATCAACTATGGTGGATGCGAACCAGTATGCAATAGCTACGACTATTAAATACTGTAGCTATATGTCATGTTTAGTAGTGTCAGAATGAACAACCAATGGATTTGTACCAAACAAGCATGAGAGCCTCTTTTAATCTAAACTAAGGTGCAATCAGTAATAAACCAGAGTTGATGGAAACCAAAGCTATAGAGATAGAAAATGCTTATAGGGCACACAAACTATGAGCATCCCCCAGATTTATATGGGCTATTTCTGAAATATATTGCACTGTGTGCAGTGGAGATGCTCTCTATCTATATCAATTCCTGCCTAAAGGACCTGACAATGCTTTTTTCATAAGTGATTCCATTCAAATGGCCTCTGACTGGGCAATGCTTTCTTCTGCATTCTAAAGGGACTCACTTGTCAAAATGAATATCTCCTGTCATTGGCACTGAGTGAGTCAAATATCGCAATCAGTAACATAATTATTGATTTAGGGGGTTACTGCGGAAAAGGGAGGCGTACACCGAGACTGGTTAGATGAGGAGAAACAAGGGGATATGTGCTATATGCGATGTGTGTCATGAATTCAAATGAAATGTGTTTGGGTTGAGGTGACATTGGGGAGACTGGGTATGGTCGTCATAATTTTGACTGTATTTTTCTGTTCCACATTAATTGAAAGAACACAAGCTAAACCTGCTACAGTAATAATATTTCATTAAACTTCATTAATAATTTATAACACTAATTAAAATAGTTGGTTTGAGCTGTATTTGCCTCATGGTGTAAAGCAGGGTGCCATCGTCTTGAATCCTCAGTAGTTTATTGGGCATGGTCATGTTGTGAGCCACCGACTTCTTCCCGTTATGGAAGAATGTGTCCGGAGTCCATATTTTACTGGCCATCAAGTTGTTCAGCCGCAGTATGTTCATGGGCCCATCGAATTTCAACCTCTCGTCTTTCCAGCTTTGCCGGAAGAACACATCTATCGTGTATTCCTGTGGGCAGAAGTAACATTGTTATTGTCAACAATCGACAATCATCCGCAGGTGAAGATTACTGACAAATAAACAGACACAGACAATAAAACCTTTAACCATAAGTTTACTTAAAAATATATATAAAAATGTTTTATTACAAATTATTGCTGCACTGTGAATATGGAACCTGCGCCTTCACCTAAGAATGGTCCAAGATCTTCTGTTGTAGCACCTGCCTTTCTGCACCTTCCTTAGCCGTCTATCCTTACTATATAACAATTGCTCTGAAAGTTTGCCTAGCCGTTAAGATTGTTAGGCTAGTAACCTTAATATCGCTGGTTCGAATCCCCGAGCCGACTAGGTGAAAAATCTGCCGATGTGCCCTTGAGCTCAAATGTAAACAGAGAAATCACAAGCAGCACCTAGTGAGAGGCTGTGAAAACAGCCTGTGATAAAGCTTAGGATGGATGGCACCCTTTCTCTCTGTCTTATCCCCTCCAGACAATGCAGCCCTTATAACATCCATTACTGACTCACTGCACCTCCTGCATACACTTGGGCCTGCCATTAATCCACACCGAATGGGGGTTTTATGGTTTTTCTTTAGAGCGGAGCAGCCTATACAAGGTGAGGTCCCCGGTGTTAGTGTGCCATGTACCTATCCTGCCTATGCAACCCCACTGTTTGATTTAGAAGCCTAGTAGCAGTGGAGCCATGAGATGCAGTGCAGAGGCTGAGGTAAAACAATCTCTCTCTCTCTCTCTCTCTCTCTCTCTCTCTCTCTCTCTCTCTCTCTCTCTCTCTCTCTCTCTCTCTCTCTCTCTTTCTCTCTCTCTCTCTCTCTCTCTCTCTCTCTCTCTCCCTCTCCCTCCCTCCCTCCCTCCCTCCCTTCATTCTCCAAAGGATACCTGGCTTGTTACAGCCTCCAGGCTGTGCTTACTAGGTGTGTTCAAAATCATATGAGCTGGAATGAAAAACTGCCCTTAGGTGTGAGGTTCAGCACATCACAGCTTATGAGACCACATGGGCAATGAAAACAGCAATTCATAATTTTACCTTCAGCCACTAGCGATTTGATGGCAACAACAGATAACATGTATTGTGTGCTTTATCAAAGTAGATTTGCACCTCATGTAGTCCACTTGACCCAGCAATCTTTGGCATTTCCCTACTATGTGGCATTATCAATCATGTCTACAAGCTGCCATCAACCATGCACACATTAATAAATAATAATATTGATAGTCTCCCTAGGCATTTAGGGCATGGCTTTGCATCAAGATGATCGTACACATCTTAAGTTAACGCTCCTTACCACGACATGGGACACACTCGCCTAGTGAATACTTCATAGGAACTTATGCCTAATGTATATGTTGATTTTAGGGGTGATAGCATTTGAATTCTGCATTGCTCTTCAAATATCATAAATGTTTCATGGATAGCAGCTGATTCATCATTGTTGGAGCCAATTTAGGTGTATCTTTGTCACGCCCTGGCTCTGGGGACTCTGTTATGTTGAGCCAGGGTGTGTAGAGTCTATGTTATGTGTTTCTATGTTGGCCGGGGTGGTTCTCAATCAGAGGCAACGTGAATCAGCTGTTGCTTGTTGTCTCTGATTGGGAACCATACTTAGGTAGTCGTTTGGCATTTGTGTGGTGTTGTATCTTGTTTTTCCGTGTTGGTTTGTGTATGTACCCAAGGACTTCACGTATCGTTTTGTTGTTTTGTTCGTGTGGTGAATATAAATAAAGTATGTTCGCATTCCACGCTGCGCATTGGCCCGTTTCTTCAAATGACGATCGTGACAATCTTATATTATGGTAACATTCGGGCAATTACACACGCAGACAACATATACAGAACACACATACAGTGTCACGCCCTGGCTCTGGGGACTCTTATATGTTGAGCCAGGGTGTTAGTTTCTATGTTTAGTGTTCTATGTTCAGGTTCTAGATCATGTATTTCTATGTTGGCCGGGGTGGTTCCCAATCAGAGGCAGCTGTGGCTTGTTGTCTCTGATTGGGAACCATACTTAGGCAGCCTGTTTTGCACTTGTCATTTGTGGGATCTTGTTCCGGAGAGGTTTGTGTTTTGTTAACCTTAGGACTTCACGTATCGCTTTGTTGTTTGTTGTATTGTGTAGTACTCATTAAAAGATGTACGCATATCACGCTGTGCCTTGGTCCGGTTCTTACGACGAGCGTGACAGAAGATCCCACCAAATAAGGACCAAGCAGCGTGTCCAGGAGCAAACGCCGGAGGTAACGCTAGTGGATGTCCTCCTCGGTTGGGGGAAGATCACTGAGGAGGAGGCCGTCCGTTACCGGAGGGCGATGAATGGGGAGACCCAGGCAGGAGAGGAGAAGCGGCGCCAACCGGGCCGTCGTCGGACAGGCGAGAGGCAACCCCAAGAAATGTTTTGGGGGGGGGACACGGCATGGACGACGGGGCTGCTGGAGGCAGCTACAGGGCGAGTTTGTGGACAAGGAGAGGAGGCCAACAGGTTACGGGGGCCATTGGTCAGGAGGGAGAAGGAGAGTGTGGAGGCACGGCGAGAGGAACTGAGTAGGCAGCAGAGGGAGTGGAGGTTTATGAGGAAACCCAGTCCCGCTCCTCGTACCAAGCAAGTGGTGTGTGTCACCAGTCCGGTCCGGCCCGTTCCTGCTTCCCGCACAAGGCCAGTGGTGTGTGTTCCCAGTACGGTCCGGCCCGTTACTGCTCCCCGCACTAAGTTAGTGGTGCGTGTTCGCAGTACGGCCCAACCCGTTCCTGCTCCCCGCACTAAGTTAGTGGTGCGTGTTCCCAGTACGGCCCAACCCGTTCCTGCTCCCCGCACTAAGTTAGTGGTGCGTGTTCCCAGTACGGCCCAACCCGTTCCTGCTCCCCGCACTAAGTTAGTGGTGCGTGTTCCCAGTACGGCCCAACCCGTTCCTGCTCCCCGCACTAAGTTAGTGGTGCGTGTTCCCAGTACGGCCCGACCCGTTCCTGCTCCCCGCACCAAGCCAATGGTGCGCGTCGCCAGCCCGGTCCGGCCTGTTCCTGCTCCCCGCACCAAGTCAGTGGTGCGCGTCGCCAGCCCGGTCCGGCCCGTTCCTGCTCCCCACACCAAGCCAGTGGTGCGCGTCGCCAGCCCGGTCCGGCCTGTTCCTGCTCCCCGCACCAAGCCAGTGGTGCGCGTCGCCAGCCCGGTCTGTTCCTGCTCCCCGCACCAAGCCAGTGGTGCGCGTCGCCAGCCCGGTCCGGCCTGTTCCTGCTCCCCGCACCAAGCCAGTGGTGCGCGTCGCCAGCCCGGTCCGGCCTGTTCCTGCTCCCCGCACCAAGCCAGTGGTGCGCATCGTCAGTCCGGCACGGTCCGTACCTGTTCCAGGCACCGGTCAGCTGCTCCACACCGGAGCCAAAGCAATCCGCTCCACCGATGTCCAGTCCAGCTCCAGCCAGCGGGACCAGACCAGGGGCGCTACGGGGGGGTAGCTAGAGAGTGGTGGTCACGCCCGGAGCCGGATCCGCCTCCGAGGCGGAATGCCCACCCGGCCCCTCCCCTGTTGGGTTTAGTTGGCGCGGTCGCTGTCCGCGCCTTTGGGGGGGGGGGGGGGGGGGGGGTACTGTCACGCCCTGGCTCTGGGGACTCTTATATGTTGAGCCAGGGTGTTAGTTTCTATGTTTAGTGTTTTATGTTCAGGTTCTAGATCATGTATTTCTATGTTGGCCGGGGTGGTTCCCAATCAGAGGCAGCTGTGGCTTGTTGTCTCTGATTGGGAACCCATACTTAGGCAGCCTGTTTTGCACTTGTCATTTGTGGGATCTTGTTCTGGAGAGGTTTGTGTTTTGTTAACCTTAGGACTTCACGTATCGTTTTGTTGTTTTGTTGTTTTGTTGTATTGTGTAGTACTCATTAAAAGATGTACGTATATCACGCTGCGCCTTGGTCCGGTTCTTACGACGAGCGTGACATACAGGCCAAAACGGCTCCTACAATAATGTTAATTTAAAGAATGGCTCATGCTGGATATTGCCATTTTAAAACGGGACTGTGAGTGTGGAATGAAAAATGTGTGTGTGTATTTTCTCGAAAACAAGCCCAAGATAATTGAAGAAGTGACTTGAATAACAAGTTGATTTTTAATAATTCATAATACAAAACTGTGGAAGTAATAGGCATGGCTCAGAGTGGAGAGAGAGAGGAGGAGAGCAGTTGTACTATAGAGAGCGAGAAAGCGAGAGAGATGTGTTAAAGGTGTTGCCGTGAGGAGAAAACGATATATAGGGATGAGCTCCAGGGAAGAAGAAAGAAGGGACAATTCTGCCTTTGAAAATAAACTAAGAAAACATCAAAAGAGGAGAATGAAAGGAGAACCTGAGCGAGAGAGAGATAGATTGCGGTACCAAACGGAGTCCAGACAGTGAAATAGCACTCAGGATGAAGAAGGGTAGAAGAATGTAGCAAAAGTAGCAACACAATGGGAATAAATCACATGGGCGCCTTATCGCTGCTTTTCTCTCTCCCTCATTCTTCCAGAGCCTGATTTAAACATGTCCCTTGAATAGTGAAATTGAATAGGGGACGCAAGCTGGAGCATTGGCTACAGAGATCTTAAGTCTGCTGTGGAGGGGAAAGATTTTGAGGTTTTGAAAGGTAACAAGGTGTGATGCCTGGCCAGAGAAGAGAAAGAGAGGAGCGGATGGATTGTCCGGGGGAAGAGAGAGAGGGAGAGAGAGGTCTCTTGGCTACGTTTGAAGCCAGGGCCCTGTGAAGACGATCAGGGGAGCCCTAATCTTAAGGTGTCAGTGTTAGGGGGGCTTTGGTGCTCCACTAGAGCCAGGCAAAGCTGCTTGGAACAAACACAAACTCCTGTTCATTTGGCCCCAACTGAAGAAAACGGGTGGAAACAGGAAGGGGCAAACGGAATCCGTCCAATGAGAAACACTTGTTTTCATTTTCAGTTGTAAAATGTTTTGCCATTTGGAATGGCAAAATCGGAATTTGGTTTTTCTACGTTCTTGTGTAGTAATTG